CCTCCAAAAGTTCAGCAGGAGAGATTAAGGGACCCCACACCAGAAGATCCCATGGCCCAACAGTGAGAGCACTGGGAGCCCCCTGTTCAAATCCTTTCTCCCCATCAGGCAGAGGAGGGAATTGAACCGGGCCTCCCACATCTGGGTGATGACTCTAACCCCTGGGCTACATGCTTAAGGGAGGGATCACCCCGCACTCCCCTCCTCTGGCTGTTTTGTGCAGCTTGACATCGGCCTTTCTCATTCTCACACAGGCAGGCACCTAAGCCACCTGACTCCAGCAGAGGGGTTCCCAGGGGTGCATTTGCAGGCAGAAAGAGGTGCTGGGAGGCTGCTCAGTGCACCCAGGGCTGGGATTCACCTCGCTTCCAGCTGCCTGTGCCAGCAGGGTGTTAGCGCCCTACCACAACCAGCCTCTCAGCCACTGGAGCGCTCTCCCCCCGGGCTACACCAGCCCTGCAAGCTAACACTAGACCCACTCCAGCCCCCGAGCCCTTCAAAGGGAGCCCTTTTGGTACCCAGCCTCCTATCATGGGATACCCACAGAAATCCCTGATCTGCAGTTCCCCGAGACCTCTCTGACCCTGAAAGCATCCCAGTGCCAGAGGCCAAGGGGCTCCCTGGGATTTAGCAGTTTCAGCTGTCTTAACCAGCCCAACTCACTGTTGCCATAATGTGGATCTAAAAGGTGCCATGTTGTATAGCATTGGAAAACTACAAACTCACTGCTCAGTTATATTCTTGCATGAGGTACGTGTGGGTGAAACATGAAGAACTGTAATTATATCCGAGCAGGAATATGTTCTTAAAAACCTGGCTGTCAGGCTTAAGTCACCCCGCCCCAGACAAAGGAATGTGGTTCTTCTGCCTGCCTGAACCTGTCTGCAATGTAACAAGGGCAATGAAATTACATTTCCACCAAGGGCAGACAAAGTCAACCAAAGTGGAAGATGCCACTTCCCACTCTCAATGGGAGATGGAAGCCACAGCTGCAAGAAACCTTCCTGCCTCCTGAAGCGCCGTCATTGAACTCTGGAAGCTATAACCAGACCACAAAGCCAGCTTGGCACACATTACTGAGCAGATCCAAGAGGGCCGAGCTCCTGTACATCTGTGAAAAGTGGAACCTTCCAGCCAAGAGGTCTGAAGGTCCCCAGATACCGAATCTAGGTGAGAAATCTGCTGAGACACAAGGCTCAGATTCGCTGAAGATAAATGTAGTCACTAGAAAGCACGTTTTGTTTGTAACCTCTCCTGGCTCTTTCACACTTACTGGACATCCCTTAATCCTGTGTTCCATGGGAATAAACTTATTTTTAGTTTTACAACAAACAATCTCAGTGACGTGTGAGGCCTCAGCTAACCTAACAGGGTGGGGCTGTGCGCTGTCTCTTTAAGAGAGCAGCAAAGTTACTAAACTTCTGTGAGTGCTACACTGAGGAGGATCTGACCCTACACAGGTGGGGACAACCCCTCACTGGTCTGGGTTGAACCCCACAGCCTCACAATGCATCTGAAGAAGTGAGGTTTTTTACCCATGAAAGCTTATGCCCAAATAAATCGGTTAGTCTTTAAGGTGCCACCGGCAGGGCTGGCTCCAGCGTTTTTGCCGCCCCAAGCATGATCAGTGGCAGCTCTACCCCCGCTGCTTCA